TCGCCTATGCTTTGGGCGATGAAAATCAACCACTTAGACAAAATTTCAACAATCGATAACAATCAAATTACACATTGAGCGATGATCAGACTATGGACGATTAATGCAATTAATCACTTGAGTGATGAAATCTGTTAATTGGGCGATAAGATCACTTAGATGATGAAAAATTTGAATCTGTGCAATACTTGGGTGATGGAATTTACACTTGGACGATGAGCACTTCAAACAGAAACTTCAACGGGCAATAAAGCTGAAGATCATCGCTTGATCAATCTTCAGCGGGCGATGAGCAATCACTTTGAACAGAAACTTCAAAAATTCATCAAGATCAATTAAAAGTCCACAATTTCATGAAATAACTTGCACAGATTTGATCGAAAATCCCACAGAAACAATTTTAAAGCATTCAATTATACAAAAACAAATCAAAATCGTCCAATTTGATCAAAATGATTAAAAACAGAATACAAACTAAAAGCAAAAAGTTCTCGATCACAATTTCAAGAATTCAGCTTCAATTCATATCCAAAACCAATCAAGATTGAATTTGTTAGCTTTGATACCAATTGTACATCCCAGATTCAAGTCTATAACATAAAGGATTAAGATCAAGAAATCTATAACATAAAGGATTAAGATCAAGAACACATATTTGCATAAATGTTTATGTCGACAAGTCTATTGATGATAGTTTGAGTACAATGTGTTCTTGAGCTCTCACAATGATCTCACATATCAGTCTTTCAATACTAAGGAATCTGTTAACTGCTAACTACCACCTATTTTTACAAATAGGTTACAAGGAACAAACAAACTACTTACAAAGCTTTTAAGACTTACACTACAAAGCAAGTAAAACACTTTAAGCACAAAAACTTGGATACAACATTTTTAGACTCAACATAAATGCCAAATGCAAACAGCAGATCAGATCTAAGAAGGCAAACCTTTATCAACATCTTCACAAAAGACCAAATATGCTTATGGTTCATGTGATGAAAAGAAAAATCTTTCAATGAAATTTTTTTCAAAGAAGGAAGAACCATATTTTGTTGATGTGAAATTCTTTTGGAAATGGGTTCTGAAGCAAAGATATGAATGACGCGTTAAATCTATATATACTAATCTTGGTTTTGCTAACGCAAAAGTTTCAAAGTGATTGTTTTTGCAGACTTCTAGAACTTAGACTTCAATGTTTTAGCTTCTAAAAACTTCAGTTTAGAACCTGTACGTCATTGTTGTGAATTCTGAAGAAGATAGTCCAGGACTCAAGCTACAATCGTTCGAAATACGAGTTGTTAATGATGAGTATGACGGTCAAAATAATCATACTGATGTTCATACTCCACATTGTACACAAGACAAGAGATGATCCTTTTCTTTGCCAGATTTTTGTAAGAAGGTTGTTTGTAAATATATCTCATTCAGGTTTTAAGTTCTTTAGAAATTTATTATTAATTTTTGAGTTTATTTTCTGAACCCCATTTCTTCTAAGGTCATTCAGAATGTCATTGAACCTCCCATATGTTTCTGAGAGAGATTCAAATTCTCTTTCCTTGAAACCTTCATAAGCTCCAATGCCAATGTTGACTTCGTTTTTCATGGCCTTTTCTCTTCCTTGCATTTGGGCTTCCACTTCATCCCACATAGCTTTGGCAGATGTCAAACTATCAACCTTATTGAATATTTCATTGGGGAGTGCCATGCTGAGAAATGTGAGAGCTCTCATGTCTATTTTGGCTCTTCTTTTCTCTTCTGCATTGTACATGCTAGGATTCTTTCTAATCCTAGATGCAGGGTTGGCATGAGTATTCTCTGTTCTTGGAACAGTAAGAATCTCAATGAAGAGTTCTAGAGGACCATTTAGAATTGAGTTCATCAAATCTTCATCAATGTTGTCCAAAAACTAGATCATTCTGATCCTCCATTGATGATATTCTTCCACAAATAAAGCAGGAGGCTTTGTTTCAGAACCAATGCTAACATACTCTTTAGACATCTTGATAGTGTGTGATCGAATCGACAATATTGATAGGAAAGAAATACAAAGAATGCAACAATCTGTTGAGTTGAGTACAAAGAATAATTGAATAATCAAGAATCTAGAATCAATCTAATAAGAATGAATAACCTATCCATTTATACAAAGAATAGTTCCTATAAAACTGGGAAAAAAACAGATAAGCCTTATCGAGTTGAGGTTTGTTAGCTCTCATTTCCTTAAATGTAAAAGTATAGAAAAAGTAAACTGCGAGTATTGACAGAAGATGATCTGTCACAGAAGACCACAGAGGACCAACAGCAGAAGATGCTCAAGCGTTCAAGTCTCAAGTGACAGAACCTATGTCGTGTCTCATAGAGGTTCTGTAAACTGGTCCTCTGCATAGACGTTGCTTCAAGTCAAAGACGACAGAACCTCTGTCGTGTCTCACAGAGGTTCTGCAGCATGTCTTCTGCATAGATCTTCTTTAAGCTGTTTTACTTAGGTTTACTAGCTGCTCGTGCTTATCACGTGTTCTTGTTTGTAACCTGTTTATGATCCAACGGCTTAGATTAATTTGCTTTAGCTCTTGTCAGAAAACGGTTATTTGCTTGTATAAATAGCAGCRTAGGCCCTTGTATTTCAGTGTGCTTCCGTATTGTAATTGTTAACATTTTCATCTTTTGAAAATCATTTGAAGTTCTCTCTTGTGTTCATCAATCTTCATTACTGTGTTCTTATTGATTTCTACTTTGGTTGATTCA